TGGCAGAACAGAGCTTCACTGTGTCCAATACCCAAAAGATCCCTGAGCAGCCTTTTGCCAGTGGCGTAAGTGAGCAATGCTCCCTTGTGGCTCTAACAGAGCTCAAGCACAATTAAAAACATTACCTTTTTCATCTGCAGTGTGACAGAACCATGAGCAATAAATGGCAGGGGATTATAAAAAATAAATCTCGCCAGGCTAATTTGACTGTTCAGATATATATACATACGTAAAACTACAAAATTAGCAGCCATGGAGCATGCAATAAACAGAATGTATTCTGATTTCAGTAGAGCATTCAACATGGTATTTCTGAAGTCTAATTGAGAAATTTGTGCAAATTGATCTGGTTAGGAACACTGCCATGTGGACTGAAAACTGAATCAAAGATCCTAGATAAAGTATAACATAAACAGCAATGTGTCCAGTTGGGGAGGCATCCGGTGCAGAACCAGAGAGATCATTGTTAGATCTTATTCAACATCTTCATTAATTATCCCAACAAGGGAGTCAACAGCTCATTATTGACATTTACGGAGAAGGAGGAGTTTCAAACATCAGGGAGGACAAAGCAGTAACGCATAATGACTGGACAGATTAGAAGCGTGGCAGAAAGTAATGAACTAGATTAGTCCTTGCAAAGTGCAGGTTAATATAGCTTGGGGGAAAATAATGTGAAATCATACACTTAATGAGAGAAAGAATCCTAGCAATTAGTAACAGTAAAAAAGACTGGGTGACAGTGGGCATCAAATTAGACATGAATTTACAAGGTGACATAGATGTGAAAAAGATCAATGCCATTTCAGATGACATAGGCAAAATTAACACCAACAACACATCATATACAAAACAAGTACACCATTTCTGATCACCACATTACCAGAAACCTAAAATCAGGATTTTTGCCATCACATAAACCAGTGTTGCAAATTGTGGGTTAGAAGAAAGAAAATTTGGATACTCATTATTTTGAGGGGGACAAATTGATACAGGTTCCTTGGTACTGTGGTGAAATACAGCACCAGAAACAGCAACATCTCAGTCCTGGAGATCCCTGTGACAGAGTGCTAGGTCTGAAAGCCTGAGGGCATGGCTACACTTGCACATGTAGAGAGCTTTGAGTTAAACCAGCCTTCGGAGAGCGCAGTAGGGAAAGTGCTGCAGTCTGTCCACACTGACAGCTGCAAGCGCACTGGGATGGCCACATTTGCGGCACTTGCAGAAGCATTGGGAGTGGTGCATTATGGACAGTTATCCTACAGAGCACCTCTTTCCATTCTGGTGCTCTGGCTTGTGGGAAGGGGATGTGGGGCATTCTGAGTCCTGTCCCAATGCGCCGTGATGCATTGGTTCGCATCCCAGCAATCCCTCTGCTTCCGTCCACATTTGGCACCATCTTTCAATGTTTTTTGTGTGCTGTGCGCTCTGTCTTCCCTTTTGATCTGCAGGAATGGAGCTCGAACTGCTGAGGCTAAGTGCTGTTCACTCAGCTGCCATGACTGACCCTTCCAAAAGAGCCTGCAGTGCCTCAGGCATGTGGCAGCAGCCTATCCCTGAGCAGAGCCTGGGTCAGATGACCCCAGGCTCAGGTATTTCCCCAAAGCCTCCAGACTTGCAAATAAGTCTGTGCAACAGCACTACCCAGCCAGGAACCTACACTGCAAGTCACCAGGCAACAGACTCTCTAGACTGCCAGCCTGCTGTTCTTCCTGTTCCTGCCCCAGCTTTGCCCATGCCCTGCTCTGACCTTGCTTCAGGACTGCATCTGCCTCTTGACTCCAAGACTCATGGACTCTGATCAGTTTTGACCCTTGGCCTGCATCTGGACTTCGGCTAGGGTACTAATTTGGCTTATCTGTGGACTTTGACCACCTGGCTTCAACTTCCTCTCCAACCACCAGGCCTGACTGCTTGGAACCAGCACCTGACAGTTTGCACAGACTCCACTGTACCAGATCCTACCAGGCTTGATTGAGCACCTGGGTGCTGCAGTCCCAGAGACGGCGTCCCTACTCCAGAGCCTCCAGAATCAAATTGCCCAGCTGCAGTTAGAGAACGCCTCTCTCCGAGTGCAGGTCCAGACAGCTCCAGGATCCTTGGTGGCAGCCCTGGAGCATGGTCTGAAAATCCCATTGCCAGAGTGGTTTGATGATGATCACCACAAGTCTCGAGGGTTCGTTAACCAATGCCGCTTGCTGTTGCTGATGCGGCCATCCTTGCACCCAGAAGATCAGGCAAAGATGGGACCTTTCAACTCAAGGTTCAAATCCCGCTACCATCTGAAACTCATGTATTTGATCATGAAATGACATGGTGGCCTCAGTATAGTTCCTAGTTTGTGGTGCCAGTCTCTACAGAGAAGCCAAGGACTGAATGGGTGTTTTGGCTGGGTACTCGCCTTTTCTTTTTCCAGGGAAGTGGATCTTAGCCTCCCTCTACTGTGTACACAAGTAACCCCTGAGAGTCAGAGTGGCAATCTGAGAGAAATGCCTGCACTAGCAGGTTGCTGCTGTCTAGGTACAGTGTAGTATTAGAGTTGTGTGCAGTTTTGTTGCCCTCTGCTTATGTCCTAACTCGGTGGCCAGAGGAAGATCCTTTTTACCAACCATCCAAAAGGAAATCCCCATTTCCATACTACCTGGCAAATCAGGGCAGTTTTCAGTTATCACTAGGGGATCAACATAAAGACTTCAAAATGGGCTAGTCAAAGACAGAAGCGATCCTCATAAGCTGTCATGTTGTGTTTTATCAGAAGCAAGCTTTCCAAACACATTCCCTCTGCTGCCCACATGTGCCCTAGCATAGGCGGAGCCCTGTCAACCACATCTGCAGGTTCCCTCTCCAGCTCTGGGCCCGTGCCACACCCAAAGGAAGTTGTATTTCACTTGTATTTTCCCTCCTCGGTACTACCTCAGCTTCAGACAATACTGGTTCATCAATTCCAGCCAAGTATAGTGATCTCGCGGATGTCTTTGATAAAAGGAAGGCCAATGTCCTACCCCCCGCCCCAACCTACAATTGCCCTGTAGATCTCCAGCCATGGGCAAAGGTTCCCTTTGGGCACATTTACCCTTTATTGGAACCTGAGCTCAAGGCCCTGTGGGATTACCTGGATGAAAATCTGCCCAAGAACTTTATCCAGCCCTCCTAATCCCCTACAGGAGCCCCCATCCTGTGTGTTAAACAGAAAGATGGGACACTGTTCCTTTGTGTTGATCATCATGCCCTGAATAATACTACCATCAGGAACAAGTATCCTCTTCCACTGATCAATTGGCAAAAATGTGATGGTGTCATCTGATCAGTCTTCCAGTCCAGGTACTACAACTCCTAGAACGGGTTGGCATAGCAAAGCTCTTCACCAAGCTTGACCTGCAGGGTGTATAACTTGGTCTACATCTGGGAAGGTGACAAGAGGAAGACAGCCCTCTGTACCACACATGGCCACTATGAATACCTGGTTATGCCCTTCGGCTTCTCTGACTCCCCAACCCCATTCCAGTGTTTGGGGAATGTTATCTTCATTGTGCTTCTGACATTCCTCATGATAATTCTTTATCACATATCACTGGCTCAGATCGTAAAGCATCCAGGTCCTTGCATATTTTGGACATAGCATGAAAATCACGAGATCTTTGGCTTTTGGTCTGTGGAGACCAAGACTCTACCTCCTGTATGACAAGGGTCGGCTGCAGTAAGAGAGCTCCTCTATTCAAAACTTGTCACCCTATGGACTGCAAAGCATTCCCTGGTGGACAATTGAGACTAAGGGTCATCTCTAGTATGACAAGAGTTTGATCCAGTAGGACAACACCTCTGCTCAAAACAGGTCACTTTTACCATGGTATTTTTGTTATTTCCTCTAAACCATGGGGAAATGAAGGTTTTTCAGGGTACAGAATAATTCTTATGTCCTTTGACATTTTCTAAGACTTGGTCTTTTCACCACAATTAAAAAAGACCACCCCCACAAATGTGCCTAAAATTTGATGTGAATAAGTCCAAGCAAGGAGCAAAAGGAAGAGTTATCACTGAGGTGGCTATAGATAACAAAGACATCCCTCAAATAGACATAGTACAAGGGAATTACTAATATGAATAAATATAACACCGTTTTCACTGGAGAAGGGAGAGCACCCTAGGACATCAGTTAAAATTGGCATCTGGCAAATACAAGAACATTGTTTGGTTTTGGATCCTTTGAAAATCTCAGCCTTTGTGAAAGGCAATAAAGACAGACTCTGGATTTGTACAGCAGTGTAAAGGTTTTATCAGCATGGCATCGTTCATACTGGGGCATCGTTAATGCATGGTGAAGCCATGAGTAAGTTATGCAGATCCCAAATGAATGCTCATAAAGCCTTTATATCATCCTGTCATGTATTCTGTAGATACACATGTCACAGTAAAACTATTTTACAAATGTTTTGGAACAGTAGGTCTCAGACTGTGAACTGCAAAGCATTCACTCATGACTGGTGACTCATGGGTAGATGGTGTTGCCTCCACCTTCTCATTTCCAGACACTTCTAAAATTATATATTCCTCCTGTGTATAGAACCACACACACACACAACATCACTAGGCAGATAGATGGCTACACTATAAGGAGGGTATCATTGAATGAGTATATTGCTGTTGCATGGGCACTTTCGGGGTAAATTGTTATAGCAAGTGCATCTTTGGAGGATATATTGCGATGACAAGGGCATAGCTGGGCAGAATATATCTGTACTAAAGAGGACATCTTTAGGTGAATTATGTTGCTATAGTGTGTGCATCTCTGGGAGCCATACTGTTATAATTAAGACCTAATTGGGGGAACACTGTATTGCAACTGTAGGATGAGAGCAGATTTTGGTGCAATATACTGCACTAACATGGGTTATACTGGGTGGATGTTCCTATTGTAATGTAATTGGAGCCCTAAGAATTTTAAGCCTGGATCAATATATATAAACATTAAATGTTCCCCATTCTTTATTGTTTTGTTACAGTTGCTGTGTCCTGCTCTGGAATACATGAGAAAAACCCTTCTTTACTGAGTCCCCCTCCCAGACTGCCTCCAGGCAAAAATGTGATGGTGTCATCCGATCAGTCTTCCAGTCCAGGTACTACAACTCCTGTCCCTTTAGTCCTTCCTATCTCTTAAGCAGGACCCACACCGAACAGAAGAGCTGAGCTGCCCTCCTTGATAATCAGAAGCCTTCCATCTCCATGTGTGTGTCTGGTTACCAGAAAGCCAAGCTGCTGGCTTTCATAGGATGATGGAACGGACTCAAACAAGTTAATGTAGCCTTAAGGCACTGTCTCCATTTCTGAAAAAAAACAAAAAGCCCAGAACAAAAAAAGTCTTCTCCATCAACATGCTATGAAAACAATCAGTGTAGAATATGTGGAGTCCCTGAAGCAAATGCTAATTAATGGATCTGTTTCCTCAGCAAATGGAAAATAACCCCCCCCTGGCAGTAATACAGAGTGAAGTTATTTTCAAAGGAAATTCTTTCTCCACCTGTCTGCAAAAACCCAACAGACCTGAGCAAGTAGCTGCAAGGAAGGTAGGATGAACTGGGCTTCCTGTGATACCAGGAGTAGTTGAATGAGTGCCCACATTTGTGAAGGGCTGAGAGAATGAGCCAAGCACTGCTAGAAAGGTAGAGAACTGTACAAAGCTGTGGTACTCTTGGAGGATTCTGAACATGTGTGGAACGGGCACACAGTTCAATACCCACAAGGCTTCAGGAACTCTATCCTTTCTTGTCTGCACTCCCACCATAGCTCTGCTTCAGGAAAGAGCAAAGGGAGAAGGCTACTACATGAGGCAATTCCTGATAGGGGACCCTTTCAATTACAGCAGGATAAGTATATTGTTACTATACACATACCAGAGAAGTTATGCAATAGTGCGAGTGTCCTGTAGGGCCAGCTAGGAGTTGGCCTCCTGCAGTAAGAACATCGTCGTGGCACTACCCTGTCAATGTCTCCCAGGAATCTTACAATGTGGAATTCCTCTCTGAAACGGTATGTCCATGCTGGCTGGAATCCTATGGAGTATGTGTCTTCATAGCAGTTCCATGGCAACTGAAATTTCCTCTTGTGGTGATTGGGGCAATTTTTCAGTATTTCCACTTCTATTTTAGATTGTTTCCCTTCATTCTTTTTGCATATATTCCTTGTGCATTCAGCAGTTCTTGAAACCGTTCCAGGATGTGAAATGCCTTGAAGACGGTGAACAATTAGCTGTCATTACCTCCCCATTGTAATAAAACCCAATGTCCTGGAAAGCAAGTGGGAGGAGGAGAGTGGAGAGGCACTTTTATCATGGGATCCCTCACAGAGGATGAACAATATTTGGCAGTGAGGGAGAAAACTGGTCTTGTTCAGCCTTAAAAGGAACCATATTTTTATTTCAATAGCATTGCAATAATTCCTCTTTAGTTTATGCTCCCTCCTTTCCCACCCTGCAGTTTCTAAGACATACACAGAAATATTTCATTAGTGCATCCTTTCAACAAAATTTGCATCCAGCTGGTCATCCACCAAAAAGAGTTCTCCTATTGATTTGAATTGGGTGTGTCATAATAAAACACGCAGCAACTGTACATATCAAAAAGGGCTCTTTTTTTCAAATCAGTAAACTTGGTCCCAGCTTGCATAACTCATTTATCATATGAATTTCTTTCAAGGAAGACAGTTTGCTTACTTCACCTGAACATGAGTTTCCATAACCGATAGTGGAACATGGTTAGCAAATATAAACAAACAAAGCTGCCAAATCCTATAAATTAATCAAGCTACTTCTTTTTTTGGCTGGGAAAGAAAAAAAGAGAGATTATTATTATTTCTATGTTGAATCCTTGGGAGTTGCACAGGTACTACAGAGATGGGGCCATGTAAGCACCTGGATAGATGTTTGATTGATTGATTGTCTGGCAAGCAATGCTCATACTTCATATTATCTCTTTGCATGTTTCACCAACCTACCTGCAGAATGGGTGTCGCCAGGGAGGCAGGAATATGCTATGTAGTCATAGAATCATGGAAATGTAGGACTAGAAGGGACCTTCCCTTGACTCAGTGGGACCAGGACTGCCCTTAGTCCCCAAGAAGAAAATGAGCCTTTGACAAGCTGGGAGAAAACCAGTTCATAAAAACCAAGTCCTAAGTTTGTGAAATGTTCCCCTTAATGTTTAACACACAAAGTTCAGAATTTATAATCCCCAGGTGCAGGGCTCTGGCTCCCCATCCCCTGGTCTCTGGAGAAAGAAGATTCACATAGATGAAATCGTCCCTGCTCTTGTCCCAGGAATGGTTCCCCAAATCCCATCCCAACCCTAAGGTACTAGCCAAAGAGTTGCATCCCCACCTCCACTGTTATGTGCCACCTGAGGAGCAGATGCACATTTAACCTGGGACAGATATTCCTTAACACTCCGACTATTTGATGTGCATCCGACACTTCCTTGCTCTATAAATGGCCCTAGCCATCCTCTTCCAGTTGCCGATCGTTTCCCTTCATGCCACAGCTCAGATTGCCCTTCCCCAATAAGCCCTTCATGTCTCCTTCCAGATGTCAAGCCCTCCCAATTTCCCATTCTGTTGTAAAGCTTGTTACTCCTCTCCCAAACATGAGAACCCTCACAACCTAGAGGTGATGGCACAGGGGCTTTGTACAGCTGGAGCAAGTGGGGAAATCATCTGCTTGTCACTGTGAAAGTAGTTGTTGTATTTACTTTATTAGTGGAGCAGTTTGCTATGTGGCTGTATATTCAAAGGGTTAGAAATACATTGCTCTAATATCTGTAACTACAAGTTCAAGACTTGGTAAGACATTTTGAAATGCAATAATTTTCCATAAATATTTATTTTTAAATAAAATTTATGGAAAATTGTTTGGCATTTTTGCTACTCAGACTTCAGTTTGCTATCTCCGATTTTTGACTGTAGCACTGCAGACATAGTGATTGTGTTTTCTGGCCCTGATTGGGTGTTTAGGTGCTACCAAATATAAATATTTACTTATAATAACAACAGGGACATATTATAAACTCTCTTACTCATGCAGGTGAGCAGTCACTGGCATGAATAGTCCTTCTGACTTCAATGAGTGTTCTCATATGAGCAAACTGCTCACTAGTCTGGGGAGTAAGGGGTTCACAACCTGGCCAGAACCACTAGGACAAAGAACTACATATTTATGTTCTGTGCTTTTCCTGAATTTACCTACTGTGATAATTATATTTTTTAATGTAGTTACAAATTACTTGTTAAATTACAAATACTTATCTACTCTGGATATTATAGGGAGAGACCCAGCCCCGAACATTGGTGGAGCTGGGTCCCCTGGTCCCTGAATTTGCTGGAGCCCAGGCACCACGGGCCCATATAACGTACCGCCCCTGGGAGCACACAGTTCAGGTGGAGACATCCCTTAGGGATGAATTTTGTCAAAAGGGAACTCAATATCCTAGTAAAGAGGATAGGAAAGAAGTTGGTAAAGTACAGGTAAGAACTAGTGAGGAATAATCAAACAAAATAGAGTCCCATTTAAATAGAACACTTAAAGGCAAGCAACTGAATATTGACCAAATGTACCAGTGCTTATATATAAATGCTAGAAGTCTTAATACTAAGATGTATGAATGGGTGAACTGGCATTAAATGAGGATTTTGATATAATAGGTATCACAGAAACTTGGAGAAGTAAGGCTAATCAATGGGACACGGTAATACACAGTATAAAATATATAGGAATGACCAAGTAGGTCACAGAGATGGAAGAGTAGCATTAAAGAAAGCATAGAGACAAGTAATATAAAAATCTTACATGAAACAAACTGTACCATACAATCTCTATAGCTAGAAATTCCATACTTGAATAATATGGGTATAGCCATAGGAATATACTACCAACCACGTGACCAGGATGGTGACAGTGACTGTGAAAAGCTCAGGGAGATTAGAGAGGCTACAAAAGCAGAAAGCATAATAATAATGCTAAGGCTACGTTTTAGTCATGGGTATTTTTAGCAAAAGTCATGGACAGGTAACGGGCAGTAAACAAAAATTCACAGCCTGTGAACTGTCCATGACTAGTACTATATACCCCTGACTAAAACTTGGGTGCTCTGGGGCGGGGGCGGTCTGGGGGGAACGCCACCCAGAGCCCTCCCTCCCTCCCTCCCGCACCCCAACCCCCTGCCTCAGCCCTGAGCCCCCTCCCACACCCAAACTCCTGCTGCTGCTGGGTGAGAGGGGCGCGGTGGCCTGAGACTGCCCCAGAAGCGGATGGTGCGGCTGACCCGGGTGCTGCCCAAGCTGCTCAGGTGGCCTCTGGGCCAGCTGTACCGGCCACTGCAGAAGTCATGGAGGTCCCAGAAAGTCAAGGAATCCGTGACCTCCATGACAGACTCACGGCCTTAATAATGGGGGATTTCAAGGATCCTCATATTGCCTGGGTAAATGTCACCTCAGGTGTGATGCAGAGATAAAATTTCTAGACACCATAAATGATTGTTTCTTGGAATAGCTAGTCCTGGAACCTGCAAGGGGAGAGGCAATTCTTGATTTAGTCCTAAATTAGACCATGATGTAATTAAATATAACATTGTTATACAGAGAAAATGCCAAAGAAACTCACCACGGTAGCATTTAACTTTAAAAAGAGGAACTATACAAGAATTAGAACTCTTGTCAGATGGAAATTAAAATGAGCTGTTACAAGGGTTAAATGCTTCCAAGCAGCATGGTGATTATTTAAAAACACCATGATAGAGGATAAATATATACCCCAAATCAGAAAAGACAAGAAGAGGATCAAAACAATCCACCCTAGTTAAACAACAAAGTAGTTGAGGCTGTTAGAGGCAAAAATTAATCCTTTAAAATTTGGAAGTCCTATCCTAATGAGGATAATAAGAAGGTGCACAAACTCTGGCAGGAAAAGTGTAAGACTATAATTAGGCAGGCCAAGAAAAAACTGGAGAAGAAACTTTCTAAAGATGCAAAAACTAACAGTAAGAATTTTTTAAAGTACACTGAAAGCAGGAAGCCTGCCAAACAGGCAGTGGGGCGACTAGATGACCAAGATGTTAAAGGAACACTCAAGGAAAAAAAAGCCATAGCAGAGAAGCTAAATGAATTCTTTGCATCGGTCTTTGCTGCAGAGGATATGGAGGAGATAGCCACAACAGAGCTATCCTTTTTGGGAGACAAATCTGAAGTTCTACCCCACACTGATATGTTAATAGAAGAGGTTTTAGAACAAATTGATAAATTAAACAATAATAAGTCACCAGGGCTAGATGGTATTGACTCAAGAATTCTGAAGGAACTCAAATGTGAAATTGCAGAACTACTAACTGTAATATGTAAACTATCGCTGAAAGAAGACTCTTTACCAGATGACTGGAAGGCAGCTAATATAATGCTGATTTTTAAAAAGGGTTCCTGAGGTGATCCAGGCAATTAAAGGCCAGTGAGTCTGACTTCAGTACTGGGCAGATTGGTAGAAATTATAGTAAAGAACAGAATTATCAGACAGAAAGATAAACACAATTTGTTGGGGAAGAGTCAACACTGGTTGAGTAAAGGGAAGTCATACCTCACTAGTCTATTTTAATTCTTTGAGGCTGTCAACAAGCATGTGGATAAGGGTGATCTGGTCAGTATAGTGTGTGTTGATTTTCAGAAAGCTTTTGACAATGTCCCTCATCAAAGGCTCTTAAGGAAACTAAGGAGTTGTGAGATAAGAGGGAAGGTCTCATGGATCAGTAATGGGTAAAAGATAGGAAACAAAGGATAAGAATAAATGGTCAATTTTCACAATGGAGAGAGATACACAGCAGGGTCCAGTAAGGATCTGTACTGGGACCTGTGCTGTTCAAGATGTTCATTAATAATCTGGAAAAAGGAGGGAATAGTAAGGTGACCAGATAGCAAGTGTGAAAAATCGGGACGGGGTGGGGGGCAATAGGTGCCTATATAAGAAAAAGCCCCGAATATCAGGACTGTCCCTATAAAATCGGGACATCTGGTCACCCTAGTGAATAATGAAGTGGCAAAGTTTGCAGATGACACAGTTATTCAAGATAGTTCAGTCCAAAGCTGACTGTGAAGCGTTACAGGGGGATCTCAGAAAACTGGGTGACTGAGTGACAAAATGGCAGATGAAACTGAACATTGATCAATGCGAAGTGATGCACATTGGAAGAAATAATCCCAACTACACATATATAATGATGGGTTCTAAATTAGCTGTTAACACTGATATGATACAGGGCTATAAAATTGTGAATTGTGTGCATAAAGTGAATGGAGAAGTGTTACTCACCCTTTCCCATGATACAAAAAACAGGGGTCACCTGATAAAATTAATAGGCTGCAGGTTTAATACAAACAAAAGGAAGTACTTTTTCACACAACGCACAATTAACCTGTGGAACCCATTGCCATGGGATGTGGTGATGGCCAAAAGTATAACTGACTTCAAAAAAGAACTTGATAAGTTTATGAAGGATAGGCCCATCAGTGGATATTAGTTAAAACAGCCAGGGATGCAATCCCATGCTCTGGGTAACCTCTGACTGCCAGAAGCTGGGAGGAGAAGATAGGGGTGAATCACTCCAGCTTCCCTTTTCTGTACACTTTCCTTGTAGCTCTGGTACTGGCCACTATCGGAGACAGGATACTGGGCTAGATGGACCATTGATCTGGCCCTGTATGGCAGTTCTTATGTTGTTAGTCATGTAAATTCCCACAGGAAAACCTTAGTATGTATGGATACGGCTGGAAATCTAAACCAACTTGAATTCTGCCCTGCTCTTTGTTGCCCACTCTTCACATACGGTCCCCAACTTCAATTCTCTCCCTAGAGATTGGTTCCTATTGTCCTTCCTTCCTAGGACTGGGTCCCTCATTGAGAAGTAGAAAATAGGGTGCTATTCACATTTGTAAGGCCCGAATATCACCCAGACATCAATGCTTAGTCTTATAGGCCCAGATCTTCAAAGGTATTTAGACACCTAACTCCCATTGATTTAAATGGGCATTAGGAGCCTAAATGACTTTGAGGATCTGGGACTTACAATGTATATATACAGCCCCTGAGGCCTCTAGATGCTATAATAATAATAACCACTTGAATGAATATCAGCCTGCAATACTTATTCATCTCACTGTGCATATGTGTGAGTGAGAGCATTAGGCAGCTGATGTCCCTGCCGGGAGCTTGTATCAGATTGATAAGGGCAGCAGTGAATTAGTTCTTTGCTGGTTTATAATATGCCAATTATGAAAAATAACTTGGCCAGGATACTGTGCTGCTCTCAGTACTGTGAATGGGCTGCATGGTTCCAGTCAGTAGGGGTTCTCCCTTCCTCATCTTAGGGATGGTGAAACTGTTCTGAAGGACGTCCATTTTGCAACCCTTAAGATATGTCTACACGACAAAGAAAAACCTCTGGTACCAAGTCTCAGAACTCAGGTCAATTGACTCGGGCTTCTGGGGCTCAGCCTGTGGGGCTAGAGCAGCAGGGTGGACGTTTCTGCTCAGGCTGGAACCCAGGCTCCAAGACCCTCTCGTCTTGCTGAGTTTCAGCGGTGTGAACATACCCTCAGCTATTCTATTTGAGAACTTCCTGAGTTCTGTGTCCCACAATGAGAGGGGTCTTTCTCCATCCTCTTTCAATTCCTTTGCTATGTTGGATGTCACTCTTGTTCAGGATCGTACTTACAAATGGGCCAGATCCTCCACAGCTGTAAACTGGTTTAGCTCCACTGACTTCAGTAGAAGTATGCTGATTTACAAAGAGGTCCAGGGCTGTTTTCCTAGGTTGGCCTTTCCCCCACATCAGGTGAAAATCTCCATCACTCTTATCCATGGACAGCTTTCTCTCTTCCCTCTGACAGTTCCTTTTTAGCTGAGATGTCGCAGACTATTTTGTTGATAAATTGCAGAGGGTTCAAAGAAGAGCCATGAGGATGATTTAAGGATTAGAAAACATGCCTTATAGTGATATATGCCAGGAGCTTAGTCTATTTAGGTTAACAAAGAGAAGGTCAAGGGGTGACTTGATCACTGTCTATAAGTACTTACATGGGGAACAAATATTTGATAATAGGCTCTTCAGTCTAGTAGCAAAAGCTATAACATAATCCAATGACTGGAAGTTGAAGCGAGACAAATTCGGACTGGAAATAAGGCATATGTTTTTAACAGTGAGAGTAATTAACCATTGGAACACTTTACCACGGGTCACAGTGGATTCTGCATTACTGGTGATTTTTCAATTAAGGTAGTTTTTCTAAAAGAGCAACAGAGAGTCCTGTGGCACCTTTAAGACTAACAGATGTTATGAAAGCATAAGCTTTCATGGATGAATGCCCATGAAAGCTTATGCTCCACATCTGTTAGTCTTAAAGGTGCCATAGGACTCTCTGTTGCTTTTTACAGATCCAGACTAACACGGCTACCCCTCTGATACTTTCTAAAAGAGGTGTTCTAGGAATTATTTCGGGGAAGTTCTCTGGCCTGTGTCATACAGGAGGTCAGGCTATATGGTCACTATAATTACTTCTGGCCTTAGAATGTATGACTGAACCTATGAATCTAGATCTGCTCATTAACATCCTGGCTGACACCCTCCCTGGAGCCAGGTGGCACACCAGTGAAAAGTTCTCTCTCTGTTTCTCATCCCAGAAACCTCTTGTACCTATGGGTCCATCTGCTCCTGGGTAACATCTACGGACACCTCCGGAAAACCAGACTGGGTGTTATCTTCAATGAGTGCCTTGGTGTCACAGCAGCAGCGTCAAGTTCTGGAAAACCATTCATCCAGAGGAGACAAAGAAGGTAGACAAACTTCCAGTTCATTCTCAAAGGGATACACATATGCACACACAGATGTCTATGGCCATCCTTCCTTGTCTCTCTCCGACTGCCACATAGACGATACCTGCTTTATGAAACTATCATGAAATTCCACTCTAAACTCTAGAGAACACACCACTAAGAATCATGTGTATATTAAAAAAGCCATTGATTTTTCCATATATTTATCAAACACTAGACTTGAGCATGTTGCATAGATGTATGGAATATTTACTCTGTGGCAGCCTTGCTCATATTGCAATGTACAATGTGAAACTTGATATGTATTTAACGCAGCCCATTTTTATACAATGCACATACTGTAACATTTGAAATGCAAAGGCAACACTCTCAAAGAACCATAGTCATTGGCAAGTCACTTCTCTTTCGTCAGCAGTGCACAGTGTAGCTACTTCCATAGGTAGCTACTTCCAGACCCTGAGAAAAGCTGGGGAAATTCAACTCCGGGTATAGCTAATAGGTTTTGAAGGGGCCCAAGTCTGCAGTATTCCAAGCCCTTTCAGCTCACTTTGCCTTTAATGGGAATTGAAGATGCTCAGCACTTTTCACCGTTATTCATCACCTCTTGGGATTTGGCCCATACTTTTTATGTTCTTATGGTCCAGTCCTGCTCCCATTGAAATGAGAGGTTCACGCCAACTTCAGTGGGCCAGATTCAGGCTCTTTGTGAATTAGCTGTGTTTCCATCACAGTCAGAAGAAGCCACTTTTAACTACAGAGGGTGAGAGTCCCAGGAAATTCAGCCCCTTGACAAGGCTAAGCTGACTCCTCATATTTGTGCGCTCACTCGTGTCTGTGTTATGTTTCTAACCAGTATTATATCTATTGCCTCCTCCCTTCTTTTTCCTTCTCTCTCTCTCCTTGGTTTTTTTCCTTTCTCTTCCTTCTTCTCTCTCTCTCTCTCTCTCTCTCTCTCGATCTGTTCTCTACTTATTTTCTTTCTTTTTTAACTTAATTTTTTTCACTTCTTTTTATCCTCTACTTTTTTCTTGTCGTTTCTTCTCTCCTTCTTTTTCACCACTGCTTCTTTCAATCCCTCTTTCCTCTTGTTTCCTCTTTTTATGTCTTCTCCCCTTGTACTCTTCCCTTCAGGCCACATTCTCCTCCTGAACACCAGCAGGTTCTTGGATAGATGTGAGTTCAGTCTGCATAGCCCCATCCTGCCATGGAGTGTGGAGTCCTGCTTGCTGGAGCTGGCCATATATTCACAGGATACTGCTCCTCCTCTCCAGGAATTCACAGTTGAAATCCGACATGTGGAGACAAACCGGAACATAATCATCCCTCTGAGAGCTGGGCAAGAGGAGAACACCTGGTAAGGCTAGCTACCTGCAGCCACTAAAATGTTGCCTGAGGGGCAGTTCCCTTAGGGCATTGCTTCTAGCAAAGTCTGCTCCACTTCTCTCTCCATAAAGTCACTGATTCTGTGATGGCCAACTCTGAGGACTGAACTGAGACCCTCCAGAGCTAAACGCATGAGTCTCCACAGCTCGATCTAAAGAGCTAGCCTCCATATCTGCTGGCTGTAACAGACTCTCATCCTCTGTGGATAAGACACAGAAGAGGATGTATAACATACACTTGACCAGTGGGTTACACTTACATAAGATCCTAAGAATGGCCCATACTGGGTCAGACCAAAGGTCTATCTAGCCCAGTGTACTGTCTTCCAACAGTGGCCAATGCCAGGTGCCCCAGAGGGAATGAACAGAATAGGTAATCATCAAGTGATCCATCTCCTGTCATCCACTCCCAGCTTCTGGCAAACAGAGGCTAGGGATACCATCCCTGCCCATCCTGGCAAATAGCCATTGATGGACCTATCCTCCATGAATGTATCTAGTTCTTTTTTGAACTCTGTTATAGTCTTGGCCTTCACAATACCCTCTGGCAAGGAGTTTCATAGGTTGACTGTGTGTTGTGTGAAAAAAATACTCCGTTTTGTTTGTTTTAAACCTGCTGCCTATTAATTTCATTTATTAGCTTCCTCCCAAAGCTTCAGTAGGTAATGATGCCCCTATTTCATCTGATTCACTTACTGTTGCTGAGATTATTGGCCTCAAATCTACTGAGTCCAAAATGCTCCCTCAGTTATGGGCCGATTTCTCTAAGCAATGTCATGGGTTATCCTGGTCACAAGAGCTAAATTTCACATGGTTTGGTGTAGTTTTAACTATCATCATTCTTCCCCTCTTACCACCAGTTTTTGCTTGAAAACGATTGTCAGTGCACATTCCTGGGCAGAGCATGCAGTCTGATACTCTGGCAGCATAGTCCTCAGCCACTATCGATGTGGGTGAACTTTTGGCAGAGGGAGTGTTACCCAAAAAACAGTCTCCATAGTTAAAGGAAATACATCCATTCTCATCCCGTTGGACCATCAGCAACAGTTGATACCATCAGTCATCACCACCAAGAAACTTCCAGGGTGAATATAAATGCCCTGAAAGGCCACAGATCCTTTCTCACAGATCAAGCATAGTGGGGCCGCTATTCCTCTACCTCCAAAATGCAAAATGTCCCACACAGTTTCTGTGTCATTCCCAAATTGTTGAACATCTACAGAGCCACTCACCAGCTGTCCATCACCCAAAGGCTCCCCATTTGCTATGAGAATCATCTGGTAACTGGTTAGGCCTTCACAATGCTAGAGGTTTCAACAGGGGCTGTACTGGAGCCAAGCATCTGGCCCCTAATGCTTTGACCATGAATGAAAAATTCTACGTCTTCTTTCTTTTCAAAGGCTGCTCTTTTCTGAGATGCCTCCCTGGGTTGATAAGCTAGGTCTAACAGTAGAGCCTGAGTCACAACGTTCAGTTCCCAGTGCTGATCCAGACTTTTCCCAGAGTTCACGGGTATTTGCTTCTGGTCTATCTGTAAAGCTCTGGGCAGGGTAGAAGAGATAGCATAGAAAGAGAGAGGAAGAGAAAGCAGATAAGAAAATCGGGCAATACCAAACCTTAGCCTGTATGTTCCTTAGTTTGGTCTTCCCCACGGTTGCTTTTTCATTCCTGGCTGTGTCAGAATGCACATGAGATGGGAACCAAGAGGGTGCCTTGAAGTACAACAGGGAGACTGAGTTCTAACAGAGAAAGAGAGAGAGTGGAGCCCACATGGCTGTTTGTTTGCAATCTTCCTTGTGCTTGCTATCCTTTCCTCCTCCCTGCCTTTGAGGGGCATGGGTTAAGTATGCTGACTGTAAGCTCTTTGTTTATATCACCTGATTGGCTCCCATGGAGAATTCCACCAACAGATCCTTGCTCTTGTTTTTCTTGAATTCCCTGGCACCACCTTTTGTTGCTGTAGAGCAGGGGTCAGCAACCTTTCAGAAGTGGTGTGCCAAGTCTTCATTTATTCACTCTAATTTAAGGTTTCGCGTGCCAGTCATACATTTTAATGTTTTTAGAAAGTCTCTTTCTATAAGTCTATAATATATAACAAAACTATTGTTGTATGTACAGTAAATAAGGTTTTTAAAATGTTTAAGAAGCTTCATTTAAAATTAAATTAAAATACAGAGCCCCCCAGACCGGTGGCCAGGACCCAGGCAGTGTGAGTGCCACTGAAAATCAGCTCGCGTGCCGCCTTCGGCACGTGTGCCATAGGTTGCCTACCCCTGCTATAGAGATACCCAGCCAAGACTCCTGTTCTGGTGAGCCAAAGACAGCAAAGTTTGATTTAAAATTCAATTCTTAACCCTCAAATCCCTTCCTCTCCTACTTTCAGTTCTTACTCACTTCCTTTCTAGGGGGGCCCTTCCCCCTGCAGATGTCTCCTTGCCAATGTAGCAGGGAAAAAGTTGCCTTCTGGTGTCATTCTTACCCCCAGAGACTGCCCATGCCACTTCAGGCATGTGACTAGTCTCTGCTGGCCGAGGCAGCTAGATTCACAAGTCCATTTCTGCTTATTATTAAATGAGTGAGTGAGTGAGTGAGTGAGTGAGTGAGTGCTCCTCACAAGTACCTAGCTGTTCAGTATCAATAGTGATCACTTCACCCATCACTGACATGCAGCTATCTCTGGAATGGAAAATAGCAGCTGTTCAATAGCTTACCTGAAGACTGCCACAACAGCTTTAGGAGATGAAGCTAAGATCATCCTCTCTAATTAAAATAGCAGTGGAATTTAAATAGGTAGAACCTAATTTGCTCAATTGGAAATTTGTCAGGACATTGGGGTTAATACCTTTGCTCTCATGAAAGGAGTGAAAAGCTCGAAGGGACCTGTAACAATCATAGATGGTCAGGGGCTTAGGTTTAAAGACATCTAAAATATGTAATATACTTCAGTCATGTTTAAAATACGTGGAAGAGGGAAAACAAGGGGATGGAATTAGAGACTCTTGGAAAAAATATGATTCCTTTCTTTTTCTTTTACAATGGATTGATTTAAAAAATCTCTACCCAAGTCCAGGGTGGACAAAGGAAACTTATTTTAGTGTGTGTAGCAGAACAAATAAGTCATTATTATTGCATATTGACCTAGCTTCTCCATGGCAGGTACATGGCCCAAGACCAGCTTTCTCTTTTATATCTGAAGGCCTGTGCTATCAATTGACAGGAAGACCAGCCTGAAGTAATTGGATTTTTGGATGGTTTGGGATTTTTAAATGTTTTTGTCTGCTTCTAAACAATACTGTACTGTTAGGAGTAGAACAGGAAGTACAAAGAGCAAATGATAGTGTAGGGATAAGGCAGTATATCATTAACCTATGGCACTCATTACCACATGATATTGTTGAGGGATGATTAGTAACTTGTATGAAGAAAAAATTAGCACCCCTACCTTTTCAGGTGGGCAGAAACCAAAGAAAAGACTACCTCAGCCCTTCCCCATAATTCTCACCCCTGTTGTCAAGCCATACCCAATCCCCAATTCCAGATAGAACACTTCACTGGGTTCTTCTCTTTCTGCTTCTGGGGTTCTGCTATAATATTCAGCTCTTCGTTCTGAATTCATCAATGGTGCTTTTTCCCTAGGATTCTGCTCTGTCCTACATTTGTGTAGTATGCATGAGAAGGAAGTGCTTTTCTGATTGGTGCTCAGCTCTCGGATTGGTGAACCATCCTCAGATTGGTAGTGCTGAAGCTACTGTTCTGTCTGTCATACCCACGTTTCAGATCAGTCTCTGGTAAAAGCTTTCTGGTGAAAAAATAGAGAAGAGAGACGGCTGGAACAAACCAAACATCAAAGTCCCTGGTCTAAATTTAACAGCATAGGTGAAAAACCTAAAATAGCATCAGTAGTTGCACTATTTAGAATAAAGAGGAGCTGCCAATCCTCATTCTTCAGGGCAAAAGATGACCACTAGCTGGGGCCAGGAAGTGCTTTTCTCTTCGATGGTATAGTAATGTTCAAATATCCAGGTGTATTGTGTTCATTTTTTCCTCTTCCTCTAAAATATTAGGCATTGGCCACAGTGGAAGGCAAGATTCTAGAGCAAACAAATCTTGTTTGTTCTAGTATAGGAATTCCCATATTCCTGATTATTGATCAACACCATTAAAGGAACAATAATTCTCACTCAGATATCAGAAGTTACTGCTGGAGTTAGATGCTGGGTCTTGCCCTATGTGTGTGAATGTAAATTGCAGGACTATAGAAGCAGGTCCATAATCCACGCCAGCAACAGCTCTCTGCTACTTAAATAAGGCTTATCTCGGGTTGGTGCCACCAATATACCTAGAATCTATTACATTCTGGTCATGTGGGTCAACACTCTGCCACTTAATGGAAACTGTCCAAAGTGAAAGCCATCCAATAACAAAGTCTGCCCTAGGATCAGATATGGAGAAAACTCCCTCAATCTCTTAGTTCACTTGTAACAAGGAGGTTAAATCGGTGGCAACCTGGAATGGACCCTGGATGTAGCCTCAGGGAGGAAATGAACTAGAACTGGATCTCTGTGCTACAATCCCTGACAGGAGAAGAAATGGAACTTGGATTTCTGTGCCTCTCTGAAATGGACTTTGGGTACAATTCCTAAGAGGAGACAAATCTGCACCTGAGATGGATTGATGTTTGACATCTTTGTCTAGAGAGCCTCTCATACTTTAGGTCATCTCTGAATAAATTCTGAAGTCCTGAAGCTATCTTAGAATCATAGAAATGTAGGACTGGAAAAGAGTTCGAGAGATCATCTAATCCAGTCACCTGCACTGAGGTAGGGCTAAGTATACTAGACCATCCCTGACAGGTGTTTGCCTAATCTGTTCTTAAAAACCTCCAATGATGGGATTCCACAACCTCCTTAGGAAGCCTATTCCAGTATTAACTATCCTTATAGTTAGAAAGTTTTTCGTAATATCTAACCTA